TGAAAGCCCGGCCTTGCTCCCGCCTCCCGACCTTTATCTCTTCCCGTCCTCTGTGCTCTCGCCTGCCAGTCTCTTTCTGCTATTCCGATTATATTTTTCAATTAAACCCGTGCGCCGCCGCTTTCGTCTCTGCAGCTCATCTAAAGTGAGTAGCTGTAATTTGCTTAGTTTTGTTAACGTTAACCGAAAGAAGTTCTTACTTGTTAATTTCTTAATAGACTGCCACTTTTGGACTAATGCTTCATACTCGCTCGTTTTTTTAGTTATCATTCTCGAAAGATGAGTAGCCTAAAGGAACTAATAAATTTGAGCCAATTGGAGATTATATTTTTCATTGTTAAATATTTGCCTCGGACCTCGCCGCAGTAGGTTTTTTGGGCGGTGGTACTGTTGCAATAATATAGAAAGAGCTGCCTTCTTTATTTATATATTTTGAAGACTTAATTTGTTTATTTGTATGATAATTTGCAATACGGGTCACTGTTTCAGTAATAATAGGAAAAGATGGCGCACCAAGGAGAGCGATTGAAATCGACTTCCATAAACGGAGTGAAGATGTACCACGTTTCTTCTCAACCAAACGTCGCCACTTGGCTTCCTCCCAAGAAGCAACGAGCTCTCCGCAAAAATCCAAGTACGCGAGCTAATAATATCATGTCCTTCTTTAGTTTTGTTTACTGCTTAGAACTTGCAGCTTTAAGTATCTTAACTTTTTTTTTTTTTGCCTGTTTCTATATATTTGAGTGCACATTAGTTCACCAACCATTACATTGAAGGGTATTTTCTGTCAGAAGTTTGTGTTATATGTGTCATGATTAGCAAGTTGTGTTATCATTATATTTGTAGATATTAACCAAGTAATAAACTGTATGAATTTCCATACAAAAAGTATGCATTACTTCCGTCCATCCAGTTATCTGACTGCTAAAATTTCACACTTGTTGGAAGAAGAAAAATTGTGGAATTATGCATAAGATTGAAACATGTTAGGGAAAAATAATTATCCATCAACATCTTTTAAGGGATTAATGGTTCATATTTGGTTTTTGGAATTGATGCTTAATTTATGGGGACTTTGAAATTCTGATATCAAGCTGGATATGCTTAGCTTCTTTGGTACTTCATATATATACACCTGTATTTATATATTTTCTCTTATTTCATTGCTTCTATGTTGAAATTTTTCTTCTGTGCTTGCTTTATACAAGATTATATGCAAAGGGTGGAGTTGATCCAGGACTTGAGGTTTGAAACTGCTACAACGAAAATCAAGGCAACTCCTGACGGAGAGTTTCTTATAGCTTCAGGTGTTTCTATTTTCCTTTGATTTAATCTTCCTTGTTCTTGTGATCTGGTGGGGTGAAAATCAGGATAATGAAACAAACTGCTTAGTTGACACTGTTCTTACCTGTTATCCTGAATTATAGGCATATATCCACCGCAAGTTAAAGTATACGAGCTTAGGGAACTTTCATTGAAATTTGAGAGGCATTTGGATTCAGAAATAGTTGATTTTCAGGTAGTTCCTATCTCTAACAATTGTTTTTTTTTTTAAACTTATTTTAATATTGCTCTACATGCTAGGAAATCTAGGAAGATATTCTTTATATAGATAGAGGAAGACAAGGGCCTGATGAGATACAGATATTCTTCAACTTACCATCTAATGGATTTTTAAAAGGGAAACGGAGGGAAGAGTAACTCAAAGTGAATTCAGGATTATGAATGTATTCCTATTTTTAATTCAAAAAGCAAATGTTCCTGCTTATGAGAGTTGTAAAATAAAGTTAATGTGGCGAACAAAGTCACTGAGTTAACGTTATGATAATGAAGCTTTTTTTTGAATAAGAAAAGAAATATTATTAAACAACAGAAAAAGCAGAGTTCAAAGAGGAGGATAAGACATGTTAGAGTGTAAATAATCAATTAAGCTCTTTCTTATTAGCTTAAACTTTTGAGAAAATTGGTTCAATTAATTATTTAGATGATATTAGTGGCCAACAGCTGGTGTTTGAATATTGGCTATCCCATTTCTACGAAAGATAAGCTTGCATAAGGTTTGGTAGGATTTGGCTTAATGCTTTTAGCTTGCTGGACTTACCTGTGAAGGGGTATGTTAGAGCATAAGTAATCAATTGAGCACTTCTATCAGCTGATGTTTTGGGAGAATTAGTTCAATTAATTATTGAAGGAAATATGGTCAATAAATCTCCAGGAAAACGGAGGAAAAGAAAACAAAAAGAAACAAGAATATCAATCCAAAGTAGCCTACCAGTTCCGATGAAGAATGATGATGAACCATCTGTGAAAGAAATGTGAACCTCCTAGGATGAAGCCAAAAAAGTTGGTTTCTCTCATAAAATAGAGGAGGTTAAAGGTGATGCTTGAAAATTCTGGCATTGTACTCCTGCCATAAGCACTCACAACCTGACAAAAAATGACACCTCTCTATAGAATCCTCATGTCCTCATTTCCAATTCCTATGGAAATGAAGCTATAGGTTGTATTGTGATTGCTTTGGTGGTTCTATATATATCTCCGGTTGAATGCAGTATGACAATATGAATTATGAGTAGTTAAAAAGAGAATGGGCGGATAGGATACCTCCAACCAAAAAAATGACTAAAACACATCAAGTATCTAACTCAATCCCTTTTCAAAGTAAATAAAGGTATCCAATGAAATAAAATCATGGGCTTTACCCCAAAAGGTTGCCAAAAAGTCCTATCCCAAAATATAAAAAGTAGTTTTTTCAGAAATACGTGCTTTTAATTGTTACAAACCCTTTTGGTCTCAAGAACATTTCTTTTATTTAAGCTAAACTGGTTGCAATGGAAAGTATGTCTGCTTATCATTGCTTAATTTGTTTTTTGGTATAGATGAGTAAATAATATATCAAAAAGTCTCGCTCTTCTATACTTTAGCAGTATCAAAAAGCAGCCAAATTGATTATTCTTTCTATCTGATTAGCGGCATTTTTCTTTTTCTGTGAGAAAGCATCATTGGCATCACTAACACCAAGAAGAGAAACTATTAGTGCTTCTGGTAGATTTCTTGTGATATTTGATATTTTATAATCAGGTTTTTCTTTCCATCTAGATATTGGATGATGACTATTCAAAGCTTGCATTTTTATGCGCTGATCGTTCTGTTAATCTCCATGCAAAATATGGAAAACACTACAGTTTGCGAATTCCAAGGTTTTCTCCTGTTACCATTTGAAATAAAATCTATGCATTGTGTTGTGTATATTTTTTCATACTTGATATAGGTGGTTGAATTTTGCTTTCATGGACTCTGAAGCTCTATAGTTACAAGCACGTTGGTTTCTTGTTTTGTTTTTTAGTTGAAGTGTCATTTTTGTTATTACCAACATATTTTTTACATAGCTCATGACAGGAAGTGGTAACTATTTTTTTAAACTTCGAATATGAATTCAAAGAAAGGACTAAAAGGAAAAAAACATCTTTGGGAAAGATTTGATAGGCTTAAAGTTAATTATGGTTTAAGTGGGGATGG